CCAAATAAAATATTTTTCAGTAAATAACGTCCCAACCATAATATTTAAAAGCATAAAAATGAATAATTTGGCAACTGTTATGGAAATTACAAAAAAACAATTCAATATGATAAAATTTGTAAATTTGGAATAAAAATTTCTATACAACTTCAATAGCATGAACCTTTAGATCTTCATAATAAAGTAACTTTAACATATAAGCTTGATAAAACAAATAGATTAAATAAATAAATAAATAACATTTGCAATTTTAAAAACCATTTAAATATGAAATCATCAATTAATAAAAAATTTGTATTTTTGGAGATTTATCAAAACAACTCACAAATGTAGACACACAATCTACAAAGGTAAATAACCAAATATAGCTTATGCCACGAAAACAAACACGAATACACAATCCACGAGAGTAAGAAACTAAACATAGCATGAGCTACAAAACAAAAGTAGACACACAATTCATAAGGATAATACTAACCAAATGTGACTTAAAGCCATGAAAACGAACAAGAGTATAAGACCTATGAATAACAAATGTGAGAATAAGGCTCATGAAAATTAAATTAGCTAATCATTAGTCATAGCGTATTGAGGACTAACGAAACTGTCGTTGGCAACTAGTGTTCTGTATAAAATTCCCTCCAAATTCATTTTCAAACATACGAGAAAGTCATCATTATTAAAATACAGTTTCCATTCTCAAAGTCAAACTCACATGAATAGTTTTGAGCATTTAAAAACTAATGAAACTAAAATTTTGTAACTAATGTCCATGTTTGGCATTTATTAAGTAATTCAAAAATAACCAGAATTGATAAAAATAATCTCATCAATTTTGAAAGTATCGTTGGTAAGGAAAAACACATATGCATGCCATAATTCAAATATCCTTCAACATTTCTTTCTAATTTCTCGAGATAAAAATAAAAATAAAAATAAAAATAATTTATTAATAAAATATTAAATATGTAATATAATTTTATTGACAAATCAGTTGAGATGTTATTCATTTACTTGGAAAGCTCATAAGATGAAAATTTGCTCCTTCTGAGCACCTCTCAGTTGCCTTTTGGCTACTCTAATTATCTAAATTAGAAGAATGAATAAATTTATTTAACAATAACTCGACTTCATATACTACCAATAAAACTTATCAATCTATTATCTTGTCCAGAACTTATCAAATTTTTCTAAATCAATATTTGTCCCTAACCCAACAGCCATATTTAAAATATTTTATTTCTTTCTCTAACTAGCAATGATACCCTTATGTTGCGCTTATACCATCTTTCCTTGGTAAGGAGCAAATGACTTATCATTTATAATCATTAACCATATAATGTCCCAATATCTAATTTGTCTCACAATAGCTTCACAATCAAAAATCTTCACCAAACTCAAGTAAATTTTGTAAATAATTAACACCCAAATCAAATATGTCCTTTTCTCTTCCAATCTCCTCATCATATACAATAAAATTTTATTGAACTTCCTACAAATCCAACAAACTTCCTCTCGGACCTCTCAGACATTGCCACAACCTTACATAGATATTTCAAATAGCAATTTAGTACTTGAATTATCAATGAAAATATTCTCTTCAAAATCTCTACTTTTAATTTCAACTTTCTTTTAAACATTTTATCGAATATCTTATATGCATCAAAATTCAAATAAATACCAAATCTCTTGTTCATTATTATTCTTTCCAACATTTTTTCAAATATCAATATATAGATTAAACAAGTTTCTCAAATCCCCACCCTTTAAGAGGGAAAAAAACAAGAATCAACTTTTAACTTTAAGAGTAAAACCCAAATTTACATTCATCTCCATCAATCATAACCTAAAATAACCAAACTAAAATTATTTAATGGAAATGTTTAACTAACTCTTAAATTTCAGATTAATCCAATCCCCCCCCCCCACACAATCATATAGGGTAGTTGAACAAGAGAAAACATTACAACCATTTTTCATAATTTTTTTCCAATGGCAACAATAAAATTAACCAATCTTCTCCTTCAACATAAATCCATTTTAATGCTGGAATAAAATTAAATCTGCATCCACGTTACTTTCAGCAGCGAAGAAAGGAGGGAGAAAATTCCACAATCTCAACCAACAATGCACACCAAGCAGCAAGGAAGAGGAGGATTGAAATGCCTCACCTTTGATCATTAACGACACATAAAGGAAGGAGAGAGAAAGAAGATAACAGCACTGAACAGGGGAAGCACGAAGAAATTACAGTTCTAATGAGGATGCCAACGTAGCGACAGAAAATGGCCAAACACTCACCGGAACTACTTGCAGTGATGAATGGACGGGACTCCAGCAGCGATGGCGATGAACAGACAGGCTAGACGACTGGCTACGTTGAGTTATCTGTGACGCAAAACAGGGGAGATGATGAAGAACTCTGCTCCTGCATGGCGGCATGACAAGGAAAGCTCCTCGTTCACGGTCGCCATCCTCAATCACCATGGGAAATCAAAGGTATATCGGAGAAGAGGCAAATGCTACTAAGTTGATCCTGGAGCTTTCGAAAATGAACAATGGAAAGGAAGAGGAGTTGCCTGATTCTTTTATTTGTCTCATTAATTTTTTTAAAAAAAAAGATACAGAGGAGCAAAATTGTAACTCCATAAAAAATTAGAGTGGGAATAAATAGAACTTCTCTCTTGTATGAGAGAGATTCGATCCAAGGACCTAGTGGATAAATTGTTAACACAATTTCCCCTAAACCAACATTTTCTCTTGCTTTGTCCATACCACAAATTAATAGAAATAAAATCAAAATACCTTAATATCAGTTTATGTATGATTATTTTTATTATTATTTTTTATAACTATTGAAAGTAATAATGATGATGATGATGATGATAAAATATAATTAGAATACTTAGTCTCTCACACACACATAGAAATATATATATATATATGTATATATATATTATTAACTTCAAATTTTAGGTTATTATAGTTTAAATGCATATCCCATACCAGTCACTCTCATATTTTAGGATGTGACATGCATGATCTGTATAGATTTTAGATTTAAAATTAGTGGTGGGTTTGTTTACTTTTGAGATCTTGTTGCCCCACATAAATTATGCATTATTCATACTGAAATTCTATATTTCAATACTTATGTTATATGCATTTTTCAGTGCTTTATATTGTGGATTTTCAACGGTGATGTTTTGTATTTTCAGTACTTATGTATATTTTCTTAGTACTTGGATCATATATAATTAGTAGTGGCGTTTTAGTGCTTTCGTATTTTTCCAGTACTTATATTATGGATTTTCAATAGTAACGTTCTATTTTTTTCTTCAATAGTTATGTTGCAAGTTTTCACTAGTAACATTTTATTTTTAGCTCTTACTTAATGTATATTCACTACCTTGTATAAAGCTTTTTAGTAATTATTTTGTGTTATTTGTTGTTGCACATGAGAAGAAATCGTGAAGATGCAATGAGATAATGCATTGGTTGTTGACTCATCTCCCAAATCAAGTCTTTTCAAAATCTTTGATGTCCATTCAAAAGGCAAACAACGAGGAAGACCAAAAAAAAAAAAACAGAGAGAGAGAAGTGAAATGACAAATTATAGGCTCTTTTTGTTTGTGGCATTTTCTTCCTTCTTTTTTAGTGTTTTTGTTACATTCTGAAACATGATTGATGTAATTGATATTTATATCAAAAGTCCTGTAAATTATCAAGTGTACATTCTGAAATCATGGTATAAGGTTACTTTTAAAATTTTGGGAACCCATTTAAAAAAAGGTTATCTTAGATTGCCTAACATTAAGTTTAGAACATGGTTTCTTATAAAATAAATTTATGACAATTAAAATCTTCTAACATGGGATGGAAATCATGGTAGAATCACTTTTGAAATCATGAAAACTTAATTGGTTTTGTGAAATCCTCATATAATAATATTCGAAGGTTTGCATAGCACAAAGTTTTCTTTCAATAGCAACTATATATTCACTATTAAACCTCCTAATTAACATCAGTTGTTATTTTCTAGAGAGTTACATGTGACAACCAAGTAACTTACTTGGTAATGTATATTCTTATGCAATGAAATAATATTTGGTTACACACTTTATACTCTGGCTTCATTACTATTGAAAACAAAGTGGTAACAATTAGATTAATCAGAATTATATCATTTTGTATATAACAAAAATGAATATGTACACAGCTTTTGAGATTAACAACTTAGTAAATATCAATTACATAAGCCATCCTTTTAACCGTAGCAAAAACTACTTTACAAAAAGAAGCAAGAAAATGTCAATAACAAAGAGAAGCCTATTATTTGTGCCTTCAATTTTTACTTCTTCTTTGTTTGGCCTTTGAAATGAGCTTTAAGACTTTTCAACCAACTTGAATTAGGGAACAGATTCGCTAACCAATGCATAATCTTAAAACACACAAATTAAAGGCTCAATTATTTTCTTCTGTGATGAATTTCCTTTTGCCTTCACCATTTCTTCTCATCTACAAATACCAATGACATAGAAAAAGGATAAGCGAAAGCATTTGGGAAGCTTTATTATCTAAAGTACTAAGTGCACAGGTGGTATGAAAAAATTAAACATTGCTACTGAAAACACATAACTATCGAGAAAACAAAATATCGCTACTCAAAATCCATATCTCAGGCATTGAAAAATATACATGAATGCTGAAGAAATAATAAATCAGTTTGCATGAATTGCGTGTGTACTTAAAAATTATATTTCACATTTGCTCCTTAAAGTGCGTCATCACAGTGACATACAAATTAAATGCAGAGGATTGACTAATGAAGAGGAGATTGGACAGCGAGCATCTCGGGGGAACATGGCTTTGGATCTAAAACGTGAAAGCTTTGATCACTACAATAATTGACTAATTCACGCGTTTTCAATCGATTAATTAATAAGGACGTCCTTATTGCGCATGGCTTTGTCTGTCTATAAATAGACACCCATATAGGAGAGACACACACCAACACATCAACCTGATTTAGAGCTTCATATCATCAACTCTCAACAAATTCATCCAATCAAATGGTATGACACTAACCATATATCCATCAGGTTTTTTCTGTTGTCTTCTCTGATAAGTGATATTACATGCTCATGGATTCACATGTTCCGGTGACCATTAATGGTTTTGGCTTACTCAGGCATCTATGAAGGGAATCATTTCATTTGGACCATGGGGAGGTCCAGGTGGCAACCGTTGGAGTTTCAAGACTGATGGTGGGATAGCTGGAATAACCATCAATTTTGGAGATAATATTAAGTCCATTTCATTCAAAGATGCTAGTGGTGCTGTTTCCGGAACATTTCGTGGCAGGAACCCAAATGACTGGGGTGAAGAGATAAAGGTGACTTTGGTTAAGAAATATGTTAATAGATCATCACCATATACTAATAATGATCATCATTATATTATTGTATAATATCATGTGCAGATTGAATTTAGTTGGCCTTTAGAGAAATTGAAATCCGTGAGCGGAACTTATGGACATTACAAGGGCTTGTTAGTAATCATGTCCCTCTCACTTACTACAAATTTCAACAGTTATGGACCTTTTGGAACGCCCACCGGTGAGCATTTCTCTGTTTCGATAGAAGACGGTGACATTGTCGGGTTCCATGGGAGATGTGGTCATTATCTTGATGCACTTGGCATTTTTGTGCAACCAGTAAGTACTTCATTCAACTATACATAATATTATTAAACCATGCATTAGATCTTCTTAATCATTCTCAAAATACAGCAGTGAAGTTTTCTGATGATGGGTCAATTGGAAATATATTAAGCCTCCTACATTTCTTAATGCAGGGAGATTCAAGTATTTCATTGGGGCCTTGGGGAGGTTCTGGTGGAGATCCTTTTATTTTTAAGGTGGCGGGTTGGATAAGAGAGATAATTGTTCATGAAAGTGGCTGTATCAATTCCATCGCTTTTAAAAATGCCATTGGTGACGACTGTATAAAGTTTGGTGGGCGTGACCCACATGACACTGGTGTGAAAAGAACAGTAAGTCTAGTATTGATTTTATTCATGGCCAAGCAAATTGTTTGTCATGTTTGTGTGAGCTGACTAGGTACTTGCATTCCACGTGTAGATTGAGATTAATGGGCCTTCGGAGTATCTGACAGACATAGCTGGGACGTACGGATATTACAAGGACCACATGGTGATCACATCACTATCTTTCACGACAAATATTACCACATATGGACCTTTTGGAACTGCGAGCGGCACTTCTTTCTCATCCATGCCAGCGCAAGGAGGTGTGGTGGCTGGATTCCATGGAAGAGATGGCTATTATATTGATGCAATCGGCATCCACGTGAAACCTTTGCATTAATACAAATATAATTTCTAATAAACCAAGAAATAACGATGTTGCTCTTGAACAATGAATGCTCCACGCATTTTCTGCTGTAGTGTGTGGATGTGCAAGTGTTGAGTTTCTTCTTGTGTTGTTTACATGGGCTTTCATAGCTCTTGCTTTGTTTCGATTTCCCTGATGGTTGTACTGCGTGTTCCTCTCATGATTTTGTGGAATAAATTGTTCTTTCATAGCTCTTGATCTTATTTATGCAGCTTGAATTTAATTTGTCACACCCTGCCTAGTGTCCTCAACATGAGAGGTAGTGAAATCTTGTTTAATCATTTTTTTTTAAAAAAAACAAATCTTATTTAATGAAAGGTTTAAGAAAAGAATTGGGAAACGATATTTTAATTGATTAATTTGGATTAAGAATTAATACCAGGGCATGTATGATGGGCAAGTGACCCTGCTACATGCTCCAGCCATTGATTTTTTAAAGCATGAAGTTATACTCTCACTATGACCTGAATAAATGCTTTAATGATGACGTTGAAATTTCGATTGACTATTTCTAAAAAACATAATAAATAAAGTAAAGATATAATTTAAAAAAATTATAAAAAATATTTTATGCCTTATATTATTTTAAACCAAACGAGACTTTTAAAAAGTGGCATTTATAATTATGGATAGGAGGGAGTAACATATAATAAACATTATTTACTCATGCACGTAATTGGACCATTCAAGCATCTCACAGCCTTGCTTACCATCACTTAGCTACTATAACATTATATTTGTCACTTTCAATAACTTTGGCTATATAATTTAACTCTGGACATATTTTCTTACACAAATTGCCATGAAGAATATTCAATGGCACAATCCTTTTCAAGAAAATATCGAAGCTACTGACTAAAACTCCTTATCTATCATCTAACAAATAGTTTTAACATGTGATCGATGGACGTGAATTAGAGTAGAGTTACAAAGATTTCTCTAAATATTAGTGTTTGTGTTAGAACCGGTAATTCAGACAGACTAGGCTTATTCGAGTTGAGCTCAATTCGAGCCAAACTTATTTGGATTAGAGTTAAAAGTATCATACCTCTTTTAAAAAATCCATATAACCAAATCCGACCCTAATACCTTCAGGCTTCGGGTTTATTCAATTCTACCTGAATGTTTGAAACTTTTTAAAAATATTTTTTTCTTTATTTTTTGAACTAATTTTAATTTTTAAATAATTCTATAAAGCATAAAATATTATTTTAGCTTTAAAAGAATAAAATAAAAATTAATAACTTATTAACTTTGTACTTAAGTAACTCTGTTACCTTTTATCATGTATAATTTATTCATGGACGTTTCATTTACTTGTAAATTAATATCTTGGTTATTTAAATATTTCTCTTATCATGGTCATATATAAATATTTTATATATTTTAATTAAATTATATTATTTTAATTACAATCAAGTTATCTCAATTTAATCATGGTTAGACTACTAAGTTAAAATTATTATTCCAATTAGTTTAAAGTTTTTAATAACTTTGGATAAACTGTACTTTTTATCTTTTAGAATATAAAAAAATAGCCATCATTTTATTATATGAAACAAAATTATTTAATTATGAGTAAAATATTTTTTTGGAATTATTTTTTCTTTAAACTTTTTATGTTGTTTAACCCTTACATACAAGGAGTTTTTACTCTAGTTTATTCTTATTTTTTAACAAGTTTGGCATGAACGATAACCAAATAATTATTTAATAATATTATTTTATTTATTATGTTTATCTAGTAATAGAGTCGGGAATCCATACATGTCTAAATTTTATTTTCAAAATTTTTTAATTAATTACCTTAAAATTAATTATATTATTTTATAAAAAATATAAAATATATTTTTTTGAATAGAAAATGATGTATAAGACTCAAAAAAGTTTTAAAAAAATTGGGTCTTAAAATATAAAAATAAGTATTAAAATATATTTTAAATATTATCTTGAGATATCCTATTAATTAAAAATATTAAAATATGAAAATATAAAAATTTTAATTTTTTCTAAAATAACTATAGTAATGCACATATTTTAGTATAAAATGACATAAAACTTAAAAAATTAATTAATATTTATTGTATTTCATATAATTTTTATGTTTTTTTATTTGAGAATTCTGGCCAAACCCGAACCCAATTATTTGGACTAAAGCCTTGTAGAAGGGAGGTGGTTGTAGCCTAATTATTTGTGTAGCCCTTCATATTTCTTTTTGTACAATACACAATCATTAGGGCAAGCGTGCATTTTTTTTATATTGCATATCCATTGGGCACAAAATTTTCTTGGCCTTGCTGTTGACGGTTGGGAAGCGTATTACCATGAGGAAACATATCTGTTAACAATTCAAGCAACCAAGTAAAACTCACATTGATCCGCTCACATCTTGCTTTCAAGTTGACTAATTTTAACACACCCATTAAACATGTATATTTTTCACACCCCAGATATAAAGACTTCTTTACATCACTCTACAAGCTCTTATATGCATATCCTTGTGCAAAGGATTCCATTGCAAGAACATATATATTATTTCAAAGCCATGAACTTTGATGAAATGAGACTGATCACATTTATTGCTAACAAACCCCAAATGATGTAAGACTAACAGTCACTCAAACCAAACATGTGCTTTATCAAGGCGACACGGTAGAGCTTTATTTTGACTTTCCAATAATTAACCAATTCACGCGTTTTCAATGGATTAATGAGGACGTCCTTTTTGTGCATGGATTCGTGATCTGTCTATATACAGAGCCCATAAAGGAGAGACACACACAAACACACCGACCAGATTTAGGGCTGGGAGCATATCAACTGTGAAAATATTAATTCATCCAATCAAATGGGATGACACTGTAGATAATATTATTTCCATTTCATTCAAAGAATCAAAAGGTGATATTTCCGGAACATTTGTCAGGAAACCAAATGAATTCGGTGAACAAAAAACAAAAGGTGACTTTGGTTCATAATATATTAATAGATTTGATCATTATTGTTGCCGTCGTCGTCGTCATTTTAATTACCTTGTCTGCATAATTGTCTATATCATGCGCAGATTGAATTTAATTGGCCTTCAGGGCAATTGAGATCCGTAAGAGGAACTTGAAAATCTCACAAGAACGTAATAGTAATCATGTCCCTCTCATTTACTACAAATCCAAACAATTACGGACCTTTTGGAAGTACACCTACCGATGTCAATTAGTATTTCTGTTTCGATAGAAGACGGTGACATTGTCGGGTTCCATGGGAGATTTGGTTATTATCTTGATGGACTTGGTATTTTTGTTTAACCAGCAAGTAAATTTATTCGACTATAACATAATATTAGTAAACCATGCATTAGATCTTCTTAATCATTCTCAAAATACATCATTGAAGTTTTCTAATGATGGGTTGATTGGAAATATTAAGGGCCAGTTTGGCAATCAGTTCTGGAAATAATTTCTATTATTCAAAATAAAGAATAAAAAAATTTATTTGATAACGTACTTTTAAAAAGTGTTTTAAAGAATAAAAAAATAAAATATTTTTTTAGAGAATAGAAAAATGAAAACAACTTTTAAGTGTTTTGGGATTATTGCTCTAAAGAATAAGGGAGAATAATTAAAACATCTATTTTTATTATTTTTTTGGTTTTCAAAATATGCTCTACAAAATACCAGTTCTTAAAATAATAAAATAAAAAATAATTTCAAATAGGCCCTAAGCCTTCTAAGTTTTTTAATGCAGGAAGATTCAAGTATTTTATTGGGGCCTTGGGGAGGTTGTGGTGGAGGTCCTTTTAGTTTTAAGGTGGCGAATTAGATAAAAGACACACTATTATCTGGATTCAACTGCCGTAAGAGATTCTAAATACATAAGATGTTTTCATGAACTCATAATTAAAGAAGCTGTGCAATTGTGCAAATGAAAATCATGCATTTCATTTGGTGGAAAAAAAAAATTTTTTCTTTGTTTTTAGCCAGCTTCACGATTTAAAAGCTGTTTTCTCTTCCTAAATTTTATTGTTTAAAAGACTGAAAAAACTTTTAAAAAAATTAAACCATTCAAATTAAATATAAGTTCTGTTAACCTTCAGAATTTCATATCATTTCAACACAATTTCCTTGAGTTCTAATATATTTTAATGCAATTGTATATATTTTGATTATCCAAGTTAAGAAAATGTGCATCTTACCTTGGGTTTGCATATTTAGCTTTATTTTGTTATTTTTGGATTTAATCTATGCTATTTTGGTTTAAGGTTTGGTGGGAAGCATTTCTAGACCCTTTATGATGCTTTTGGAAGGTTTTTAGGTGAAGAAATTAAGTGTAAAGATGATTAGTGATACTGGCTAATTGAAAGAAGAATGTAAAATTTGCCAAAGTCATCACCAAAGTACGAGAGAGGGAGACTAGTGAAATTTGATGGAAATTACACATTAGACTTCATTTTTTAAAAAAAAAGTAACAAATGTTTGTTTTAATTTAACGGTAGGAGTGAAATTGTTTCAAATTTAATTATTTAAAGTTTAAAATATATCATATACAAGTTTAATGGGCCTTCTGAGTATCTGACATCCACAACTGGGACGTACGGACATTACAAGGACAATTTGGTGATCACATCACTATCTTTCACAACGAACATTACCACACATGGACTTATTTGGAACTGCTAGCGGCACTTCTTTCTCATCCATGCCGGTCGAAGGATGTGTGGCGGCTGGATTCCATGGAAGAGGTGGCTATTATATTGATGCAATTGGCATCCACATGAAACCTTTGCATTAATATAAATATAATTTCTAATAAACAAAGAAATAACGATGTTGCTCTTGAATAATGAATGCTCCATGCATTTTTCTGCTGTAGTGTGTGGATGTGCAAGTTTTGAGTTTCTTCTTGTGTTGTTTACATGGGCTTTCATAGCTCTTCTTTGTTTCGATTTCCCTGATGGTTGTACTACGTGTTTGTCTCATGATTTTGTGGAATAAATTGTTCTTTCATAGATCTTGATCCTATTTATGCAGCTTGAATTTGTCACACCCCAGCTAGTCCTCAACATGAGAGGTAGTGAAATCTCGTTTAATCAAGTTTAACCCCAAAAAAAAAAAAGATCTTATTTAATGAAAGGCTTAAGAAAAGAATTGGTAAATGCGATTTTAATTGATTATGCACAA